TCCTTCCTGGTTAAATTTACCCTTTTTTATTTTCATATTTATTTATTTCCTATCTTATTCATAGCCTTTTCTTTTTTCTTTAGGTCACGAGCAGTTGTCCAAGCATTTCACTGCATATCGTACTGTGTATGACTGTGTATGTGACAAATAAAAATTTGAATTTGAATTCCTTCCTGGTTGGCAAAAGGTGTGGCAAAGGGCTGCTGACAGCCTTATTGGACTAAACCACACGCTCCATTGCCTGGGGGGGGGGGGGTGTTTGGAGTTTAATTGTCTTGTGTTAGTTGGTTATATGGCATGCATTTTGTTTTCCCCTTGTGTCTGAGGTTTTGCTAGTTGCTATTTTGAGTTTAGTTTATTGAGCTGACCTTTTCATTGGCCAAGTTTTTGGTTTTGTTAATTATCTTTCATATTTTTGTGTCAATAAAACCCCTTTTTTTTAATTAAACACTTGTGTCCTCTATGCCTTACTGCTTGGTCCCTGACAAGCACAAACACCTCATACCAACTGTCAAGCACGGTGGAGGTGGCGTGATGATTGTGCTTGTTTTGCAACCACGGGGCTGTGAACCACTGTATTCTAGAGTCAAATGTGGGGCCATCTGTGTAAAGCTTGACTGAAATTAGGTCATGCAATCCCCAGCACAACAGCAAATAACTGAAACAGAATTACTGAAAAATAAATAACCAAGGTGCTGTAATGGTCCAATGAAAGTCACATTTTCAAGCTGAAATACTGTGATTGGACCTTAAGAGAGCTGTGCAAGAAAGATCTGACTGCCACACACTTACTAGGAAACAACCTGTAACTGAGAAGTTAGTTAATGAGAACCATGGCTAACCATGCTTTCTGACCATAAGAATGACTATGATTTTCTGCTCAGTGTGACCTGAATCTAGCTGTTAAGGCTAGAAAGTCATCACATAAGTGTTTGCTGAGATCACAGAGAGAGCAAACCGAGGTCGGTTTTCCTGGACTTCATTACAACTATGCTTGCTTCACTTTTCAGACTTGGAAGCTACATCTATCTTTTATACTGTCTATGTTCAGCACCGACCTCACAGTTTAATTCTGGAGGTTGTCAATTTGGATTAAGTCACTTTTAGCTAACTTCTAGTGGCCATTTTAAGAAATGCAGTTTTAGGCACTTCCACATTGGCTTTACTGCTTGATTGGCTGCTAGTTAACCCTTTTCTCTAACTATTTATGCCTGCAGACTATGGAGTACTTCTTCAACTACTATGTAAAACTCAGTTAGATTACTATGGTTGAATATTAGAAAACCCCCTTTTTAATGTTACCGTCCAGGCATACTGATATAAACAAGTCTATTTCAGACTTGTTTCTCTGCTTTATTGAGATTTTCAAAGGAGAGGTTTTATAGGGATTCTTTAAGGGGAAACACGAGTAGATGAGATGTGCACTCTACTAACAATGATTAAGTATCAAAGTCTGTCTAGAAAGGTGCAAGGCTACATGAGCCAAACAAAACAACAGTCGACATTTCAAGGTAACATCTGTCTGCCAGATGGGCAACTTTGTTTTTACATATACATGGATTATTATTATAAAGTCGGTTTATTCAGCAGTGGGTACACTGGTCACTGGGGTGGAAACTCCTGGGTGTTACAAAATTTTAATGGTTGCACCACAATCATCATATATAGAGCTGATACTTTTCTTGGAACTGACCTATAGCTGACAATGACACTGTTTCCGGCATCATATCCTATTACACATAGGCTAATTGTGTATTCTGATGTAGAAGCTTTATTATTTTTTACACTAAGTTTTCAACAGTTTAATAAAATTAGGTCAATATACTGAAAACGAGTGCTAACAGTGAAGTGCAGCGCTAGCACTCGCTTAGAGCAACTTTGGTTGACTTTTTAAACACACATAAAAAGAAACCACAACAGTTCATCCACGCACACTCCTGCACTGCATGGTAGTGTTTCTATTAGGAAGACCTCGGCAAAGCAGCCGATAAGATAGCTGTGTGCTGAGGAGGTGAAGGATAAAGTCTCAAGGGGAGTTTCATCGTCATTTGCTGACATCAAACATCAAAGAGTGAATGTGTGTGAGCTATTTTGGATCTATGGAACAACAGTCTGATGTGTTAATGGCTGAGAGGACTTTGCGTACAGCGAATAATGCGATTCTGTGTTGCAGCATGAAATTTAATGGAAAGGATTTACAGACATCTTTGCTTATTACATTATGTTTAAAAGCAGAAACAAACCTCGTGAAAGCATGACTGTCTGTGTTGGATACAGGCTTGATTAATAGGAAGTTCCACACCCAAAATGTTGTCTTTGAAGCTACAGTCTAGCTGAAATCTTATGACTCCGTGCCATAAAAACTTCTTTATTTTCCAATGTTTGCCCAAAACCCTGTGGTGTCATCATGACACAAATCATTCAGCTAATTCCTTTCGGTTTAGAGATGGAAAAAAATAAATAGATCAAAAAAGCCTACAGAATTACAAACTATACAAAAATAGCATTCGAAATAACGTCGATTTTCTCTCTTAATTCAATTTTTCAGTTTAATTTATATGAAAAGATGATTTTGCCTCTAATTCTGACTTGCTTGCCTTCAGTGTCAAGTGAATCAATGTCCAGTCAAACTGATCAGGAAGGTGGGTTTGAGCTTTTGTTTAGGCATTATGTACATTATGCATATTCATTACATAATCAACAGATTAGCTGGGGTGCCACATAGCTGGCAGTAAATGAAAGGACAGGGAACGATACTAACAAGAGCGCAGTGTTTGTAAGTACGAGTAAAGTCTTCAAACTACCGAATGCTAATGTAAGCTAGCCTGCTTTGCTTGCACATGCAACTTGTGTTTGCAACCCACACTACTTCCTGTTTTGCCGTCTTTTCGCCACAGCGTGCAGGTAAATTTCATCATGTCAGTTGTGGTCTCACAGCAGCAACAGCCGGAAACCCCCTCGTCTGTGGCTATGAGCTCTTAGCTGTGGGAAGTGGGCAATCTTGTATCTGAGCCTCATCTACTGACCCCTCTGGCAGATGAACTGTCATTGTGCAGGCACGGATCCCCCCCAGAGGCTCCAGCACGTTGAACACCCTGTCCCACACGTCCTTGTCTGGGTCATATCGCTGCACGATGTCGACCATGCATCTGCTGTTCCAGGAATATCCTCCCACCACGTAGATCTGTCCATTGAACACAGTCACACCTACGTCGCTCTGGCCCCGAGGCATTGGTGACACCACCGTCCACTGGTCTGTGTCAGGGCTGTAGTATTCACAGCCCAGCACGTCGTCGTAGTCGCTGCAGCCTCGGAAATGATTTCCGCCCATGACATAGAGTCTGTCTTCCACAGTGCACATGCAGTGCAGGCCACGGAGCTCCGTCATGTCGGCCCGTCGACTCCACGTGTCAGCGACCGGGTCGTAGCACCAAAGCTCCTTCTGGAAGGTGTCACGGGTGATGCCGCCTGTTTGGCACAAGAACAGGATTGGTATACAGATATTTAATTCAAGTAAAAGCATAAATACCACTGCTTCAAAATACTCCAATAAAAATCCTACTTATTCATTGTCCAGTAAAATGTTCTTTTTGACTGATATGATGTGACTCTAGATATTATTTGTACTAATACAAGTTGGTACAGTCATGCTAAAAAATCTTTTCTGCAGAACTCTATGAAATCCTGTGAAAAAGTACCTAAACCTCGTGATTTAACAGCATTTAGAACCATCTTTAGTTTAGCCTAATTTTTTTTCTATAAGCCTATCAGTCTCTGATAACATTTAGAGACAACATTTGCTTCAGTTCAATTGGGTTTGTCTGTATTTGTTAACATACAGTGTTTTTTAAGTGCTGTGCATAGTCTGGACTTTGACAGAGCCAGTGCAAAACCTTGATTTTTCTCCTTTTTAGCCATTCTGCTGTAGATTTGCAGGGTGCTTGGGATCATTTTCTTGTTAGATGACCCAATGTGGTGCAAGCTTTAGCTGCCTCACATTTGACTCTAGAATACTCTGATATACAGAGGAGGTCTTGGTCTAGTTAGTGCAAGTTGCTTAGGTCCCGTGGCTGCAAAACAAACCCAGAGCATGCTACTTATTTATTTATTTTGTTATATGTATGAAAAGTAAATATTAAAAATCCATGTTTGTCTTAATTTTCAAATAAATGTTGTAAGCTATAATATGTCGTATAATATTGCACTGTGAAATTTAGTATGGTTAAAGAATAACGTAAATACCAGAGTAAACTGCAAGAATTTTTATGCTTTATTGAAGTACTGAGGTAAAGTGACCTAGTTACTTTCTATCTCTAACAAATAAACTAAAATGTGTTTAATCAAAAAGAATACAGAGTTGATGAAATAGCAGATGTTGTTTATAAGATCAATATGTATGTGAACATCTGCAGAAGAGTATGACACAATGGACACATTGCTTCCTGTGGCCGAACATTAAAAACAGATGTGAGTAACATCCTTCCTTTCACGCCATGAATGCAATGCCAGTGTTCTTTCTTTGATCTTTTGCTTATTATTTATGAATGCCAAGGTGTTTGTCATCCAGAGCAATGGCTGTTTTGTCATTAGGTGAAGGTTTGTCTTGTTTACTTTAGAGTTCAAATGATCCATTAGTCAGAAAATTAATTAACACTTTCCCTCTTGAAAAGTGAAAATAACCCTAGATCCTTGTACACCTAACGACTAATTCAATAATTGAGGAATCAGGTTATTTTAATTACAAATTACATGCATTACCACTGTGGGCTTCTTGATGAGATGCGTGCTGTCTAACTCAAAGAACCTCAGGTAGAAAGAGAATGGATGTGTAGATGTCCAAGTAAAGTATGTGCTGTTGTCTTCAAACTGCTCTAATGCAGATATATGTTGTAACTTCAGACTGTGGGTTTGAACTTTGTTGCAAAGTGATGTGGTCCCCTTCAACTACAGGTTTCCTGATTCACAAGTGAAACCCGTGTTTCTGCTCTCAACTCTAAAAGCCGTTTTCCTGTCCAAGGTTGCTAAGAAACAGGCCTGAGAGCTGGGTGAGAGCCGCTCATGAGACTGTGCATCTCAACAGGAAGTGGTTTCAAATAGGTCAGCCGTGAAGCATTATCTAATGCATTTTTTCAGGGTGGGTTTTCTTGTTCTTACCAGACAGCCCTTTTAAAACTTTGACAAAACATCTCGACGTGCAAAAAAAAAAAAAAAAAATTAAAACGAACCAATTCAAAGCGCATGGTTCAAACACAAATTTGACCTGTTATTGATGACTCTGAGTAAAAAAGGGAGAAGTCAAGTATCATTGTTATACAACTGTAGACAGTCACAATAAACCTTTCTTGCTAACTGTTTTATTTGCAACCTCTTGCCTAAGTGTCAGTTCCTCATTTTTTCTTTAACGACAAGAGGAATCTTCCTCTAACTCTGACCATGGCACTGATCGCTCTCTCTTGTAGAAAATGTATAATTGAAACGAAACTGAAACAACAGTTCTCGAAATGGTTGTGTGGTCATTTGTCATTTGCATTGCAAACATAATGACAAATAGACTCCATTCAGTGGCATTTAACACTCTTCTGTGCAGCACAGTGTTTAACCTTTTGAAATCTGCTTTGAATTGTTACATTTTACTATTTAGTTTGCTAGCATGCTCTCATATAGCTACATTTTAACGACAGAAGTGAACTAAACAATAACATTTATGATGTAAAAAGTCAGTCAGATGTTGAAATCGTGCAAACTGAGAAAATTAAACATTCACAAGAGCTGAAAATGTAACAGGATGAGAAAAAATGCTTTCACTCACCCAATTTGTAGATATGAAGATAATGTGAATCAAATAATAATAATAATAGGTGAATACAGTTAAATAATAAATGGAGTTTTGCAAACCTTTTCACTAGCTGGGATTCTGAAAAGATGGTGAAATATTAAATATATGTAAATAGTTTTGGCATTTTCCTGTTAAAATACACAAAGCTTACCTTTACGCTATAAGTACTATTGAATCTTGCTGTAAGAGATAAGCTTTAATTGGCAGGAGAGTGCTGTTAGTACCAAGTTTTGACTAAAAGTCCGATTTGGAAATGTGTTTTTCTCAACAGGTGAAGTGAACACACCTGTATTTGAAGCTCCTTTAAGATTTTAAGTTACATTTAAGACAGATTTCATAAGCTTTGCTTCTGCTACAGTAGAAATCCTCCAGCGTGACCACTTGGGCTTTCATAATTTTACAACATTATAAATCAATAAATAAGTTCATTTTTAGTGGATTGGTTGTGTTTCTAAACTATTTATGTACAACTGTAAATCAACTGTATTTACTTTAGATTTTAATGCAGGACTTATCACTAATTGTGGACTTATCAGGTCATATTAAAGGTGTAAATACAGCCTATTTCTCATGTTTAAAAATAAAAAGCTGGAAAAATCTGTAAATGCTAGGAATTACTTTATAATCTTATACTGCAGGATTTGTTTTAACAGGGTTAATTCTTGCTGTCTTACCTGAAATGTACATGAGGCCTTCATGGACTGTTCCAGCATGTCCATAGTGGGGCTCCACCATACTGTTCACAAAGGTCCACTCATTTTTCTTCAGATTGTAGCACTCCACCGTGTCTGAGCAAAATCACAGAGGGATGTTTATGCAATTTATTCAGCAAATACTTTTTTTAAATGGCAGTAAATAATCCTAATAGGGAGAGCTATAACAGATCAGTGATAGCAGCAGTGTCCATAAACATCTTTTGAACAATTCAAACGTTACTTTTTAATGGAAAAAGAACTGAATGGTAAAAAGGATGCGGTTATCATCAGAAATTTGTTACAGTTTACCAATTTCTCCTGAGGCGTTCCTTCCTCCCACTGCAAACAGCTTCCCATTCAGGGCACTGAGATGGAAGAAAGTCCTCTTGTCATTGAGTGACGCAATCTGTAACCACTTGTCAAATCGTGGATCGTAGCGGTAGGCGCTGTCTATGGCTGTCTTGCCCTTTGTGTCGTAAGTACTCTGACCTGAGAAGTCGAAAAGATTCAGTGTTACCTTGGCGATTGCAACAAAAGGCCAATTACAACCTGTTCATATCAATGTAGATCATTTATTCATGCTTAGTTTTGATGATGCTTGAACTAAAAACGCTGGCTTATACAAAATTAAATACTCATGTTAGATGAACACATGGCTTAAATTGGCTGTTTGTATGTTTATGTGTGTACTCTGCTCTGACCTCCAACAATGAAGAGAAAGCCGCCTAGAAGAGCCACGCCATGCTGATAGCGTGGCACCTCCATGGGCTTCAGGGCCCTCCAATGGCCGGTTTTCTCGTCGTACAGCCTTAACTCCCGGCTCACCACCAGCTGTTGTCGCATTACACCACCCAGGACCAGAATATGAGTTGCGTCTGACCGTATCTGTGTCCTCTCTGTTTGCAGGGCTGGCTGCATGTAAGGCATCATCTGGTAGTTACTGGCCTCCAGCAAGAGGTTCACACAGGCCGTCTCAGAGCGCATCAGAGAGTCGCCTTCTTCTTCATCATCCTGAGAGATCTGAATCAGCTCACTGGGGCTCATCAGTGGGAAGCGAATATGCCGCATCAAGGCATAAACCGAAGTTCGGCGTTTGGCAGGCTCGTGGTCCAGCCATCCTCTTGCAATATGATAGAGCTCCAGTTCCGAGAAACCTTTCAGCGAATTGCTGGCAAGAGCGTTGGCCATGCTGGTCTCCGAGAGCTCAAGGTAGCGGCCACACTCCACTAACTCTGAGAGGTTCTCACTCACAAACTCACCTGTTGTTATACAGATAATCAACAATCAATGAAAATTACCAAGTTTATTAGAGTTTTAGATATAGTTTTCTATTTAACTATGAGGGGCCACATACAATGAGGATGATATAAGGATAGATATGCTTATTTCAGGTAGTGCTGATGACTGGAAACATTTAATAACCATTAAATAATAACCACTGATAATCAAAGATCACATCACTTACCGATATTCTGCTGAACGTCCTCTAGAAGCAAGTCTGTGGCTATGCGCTCAACTTCCACACAGTTATCAATAGTGATCTGCAATGAACAACACAGAAAATAGAGTCATCAAACGGATAGAGTTAACAGTCTTTGCTCTATACTGCATTGTCATTCGTTGCTATGGCTCCCTTCCAATGTCATATTATGTTTTGATCCTGAGTGCATGTGAAGGACAAAGAAGCAATCAGAGGGATTTGGCAGCTCATTAGCTAGGCCTCCAGTGTACTTGAATATAATTAGCAGAATCCTGAACGAATGTGACCTTAAACTGAAAGAAGAAGTGCTCACCTCACTGCTCAGAAGCTGATTGCAAAACCGCAGGACTGGCATGACCTGCAAGAAGTTTGCGGCCTCCAGTGTGTCCTGAAGATTGCCCATGTCGAGGCTCACTTTGGATGTGTAAATGAAGTCTATAATGTTCTTTAAGCCCAACTTAGTGACCCCATGCAGCTTGATCTCTCTCATCTCCTGCTCCCTCATGCCTCCTGAACAAGAATAAGCAAGGATCAAAAAGAGACAGAAAGCATGTATTTGCATTGCTTTAGAAGATTTGCCTTGTGTAGGCATGATGCACGGTCAGCAAGATGCAAAGATGTAACAACGCGGAACATGAAGTTTATGCAAATAGTTCATTATGTATTCAGATGTAAATATCTTCTGTGAAAATCTCACCTCAAAGGAAGCTGTGAGCAAAGAGGAGCCAGAATCTCTAAACAGACTTCCTTTTGGGGGTTTTAAGATGCTTGCTAATGTTTATCTATCTAAAGAGTAAGTCTGAGTTAAGCAAACAGAAAACCTTTTCTGTTTGCTGCACTGCGTTACAAACATACATACTTCCTTCCTACAAAACTGCACTTGTATGATGACTACAATGTCACTGTTACCTTTCTTTCTCAATGCAGTGCCTCAACGATAGAAAGGACAACAAACCTGTGAACATCGCTTTAAAGTAGTCGCTGGATGAAGCCATGATGACTCTGTGGACGGGAAACTTTTCCTTGCTATCTCCAGGAACTAAGACGACATCACAGAGCGTCTCGTCTCCCCGAAAACTATCAAAGCCCTTTGGGGAAAATAATTCGATGGGTTAGTTGTTAAAATGAACCCTCAAAATAATTTAATAACAAACAGCTGTTCAGACAGTAATAAAGACCTTTAACACATCCTCTCCATGTTCAGTGCTACTGAACACCTTGGACAGGGGCCGGGGAGGAAGCTTGGGCTTTGTTGATTTGTCAGGGCGTTTAGGTGGTATTTCCATGGGTGGTGGGAGAACAAAAACTGGTGCTGGAGCTGGAGCAGGAGGCACAACAAGTGCTGGTGGAGCTGGCCTGTCATCTATGGAGGAAAACACATATTTCACTGAATTTGAGAGGTGAGAGAAGCCAATACTCCTGCTGATGCTGCAGGTACGCTGAGCTACAGCTAAGAACAAATAATGGATTTCTGCTGCAGTGGAAACATGAAAGATTTAGCATCAAAATCGAATCAGAAAAGCCAAAGTAAGCACATATTAAGCAGAAAAAGCCCACTGTAAAAGATAAGATTTAACATTATTGAACACAAAATGTTGACATTTGATAGTTCTGTGTCACCATGGACACTCACCTTGTTGAACAGGAGGAGGAGGAGGTCTTTCTGGCTGAGCCGGGTGTCTCTGATCCCTGGATTGATTCCTGCTGCCTAGACGAGACAGTCTGCGGCTCAGCCTACCTGCCCCGCTGTCGTCTCCATTCGCCCTGCACAGGAAGGATTCACAGTAAAAGAACAGGTCTGTCATTCGCTGTCATTTTACGAAGTGACAAACAATGTTGCAGAATTATAGATATGGTTTTATAAACTTATTATGTGCACTAGTGCAAACAAGGTCACAAATTAAACATCTGGTGAGTTTATTTTAGGTTTCAGCTACGCTGTTTTTAATTGGTAGGAATATTCATTCTGTTTTGCCTCTCGGCACTTCCTCTTAGAAGCGTGTAAAAATGCTGCTTTCTTCAGCGGACCCTCTCTACCGCTCAAAGCATCTCAGATCTGAAACATATGATTAATGATGCTTTTTTCTTGGGAGAAGGCCTAATTTGCAAAAGTCCCTTATCTGTTTTGTAGTGCGTGTCCTGTGGCCTGAAAAAGAGGAAGCAGTGGACTTTTTAAAAAAAAAAGTGCACTATGTCTCCTCTTAAAACGGTTTCCTGCTGTGGGTCTTACGCTCAGGTGAAAAGGCATCTACATGACATGTTTGTTCCATCGACAATAGGAAGACATGGCCTCGCATATAGAATAAAATCCAAATCTACGACCCATCAACAATCTACAGAGCACTGCTCAAAAACATGTTCCCATGTTTTCGAAGTGCTATAGACAAGCAGATCCTAACTTGGTTACAAATTACACGTGTGATGAGATGCAATATGTTACAAGTTATGAGTAATCTTTCAGTGAAACTGCACTACGAGAGACTTCTCAGAACACACTCATCTTTTAAACTCAACCTCCGCTCTGCAGCTTTGTGATTGCAACTCTCTCAGCTGTCGACAAAATCTGTCTTCATACAGATATAAACATGAAAACACCTGCAGAAGTGCTCAAAACTACTTTTTTGGGTGGGTGTTCCTGCTGCAGCAGGTGTCTCCACAACCACATTTTCCCATAAGACACACACACACACACACACACACTGAGTGAAAACGTCAGCCTCGTTGTGGCTGGTAAAAACGTCTCTAAAGAATTTTCTTCTGCTCCTTCTTCTAAAACCTTCACCTAAAAAAAATATCCTCAACTCATTTCTATTGTATGTTTCACAAAAGTGTTGAATATTGATTAACCAGATGAGAAATGATGAGATCTAATGTAATGATGAAAACCTTCCTTACCCCATGTCATTGGCCTCTTGGGGTTGAGGACTGTTGTTTCGCTGATGAGACTTCCTACATGAAGAAATAAAAAAAAGTAACAATGTATTTGTGTTGCATAAATGTATTTGTGGACCACAAAGCACCTTTTTGCGGTGTCTACTTTACTACAGTAAATTCTTTCTAGTTTAGGTCCGCACACAATGCTTTTCTAAGTTGGGCAAAGATTTGTACTTGAGTATGGATTCGACACAGAAATAACACTTCTCTGTTAGGCTGTTTTGTTGGTCTCGCACGATAATTTAGTCAGATGTGCTTCAAAGTTTCCTATTGCAGCATTCTTGTTTTTTCACAGCATATTTGATGTGGCCTCACATGATGGCAGAGAACACAACCTTCACTGAACTTCACTTCAAATGCTCTCATTATCATTCCCATCACAGCTCTCGCATTTCCTCGTGAAGAAAACCTCAAATGTGCATGCAGAAACTGACGTACAGTCTGTAAAAAATTCTGTAATATTTTTTCTTGTTATGCACAAAACCCAACCCAACTTCACGGCTACTGTTCAGCAATCTGAAAATATGATTAGCATGCTTGTCAGCAGATAAGCGGATAAGATCAGCTGTGTGACAAACGCTTTGGTTTTGCTTTTTGAAAGGTTGATATTGTTGCGTTCGACCTTTATTGACCTCGTACATAAAGCTCATTGTCAACGATTGTGCACACACTTGCACTTTACCTCAACTCTTAATAACAATGAGAAGACTTTAATACCAATAATATCTAGGTAACTGGTTATAAATAAGTGAAACGCTACACTTCTGTAGTATCCTTGTACAGCTGAAATATGCACACGACTTGGTGGCACTTTGCTGTGTGCTGTGCAGCTGCCTCACCTGCACTTTTGTAAAAGTACAAAAAAGGGACATTTGTGGGTGACCTACCTGGAAGAAGAAAGCTTCCTCAGCAAACTGGACCCGAGCCCTCCCTCCAGCCTGGCAGTTGATCCAAAACAAACTCTAAAAAGAAAGACTGAGCAGAAAATGTCTGCTCCACTGTGCCAGCTGGTTGAAGAGTTGAAGTGTCTGAGTGAGCTTCACCGTTTTAGCTTAACCAAGACCTCAGTTACTTCCTGTGCTACTTCTCTTTCTCACTTTAGGTTTCTTTCCGCATTTTGATGCTCTCCACCCGACAGTGTCACACTTGAGATCATGTCAGCGAAATAAGAAAAGTTGATTCAGAAGCTGTTTTTGTTTTCAGGTTTTTAATAAAACATGTTGACACACACAGGGCCTTTAGTGACCTTGTGTGCTTGCATGATTTTGCAAATGGAGGAACTGCACTGTTCAAATTAGGGTTTTAGCTTAATGGCATTTTAAAGTCTATAGTTAAAAGATGAATGGAATCCAAAAATATGCAACATACTGAACAAGACATAACGCAGCGACAACAGACAACATAAACTTTTCAACTTGGAACTTCTCTGGTTCTGATGAGAACCTGACCTGCAGCTAATCCACTTATTAGAAGTTCAAACATTAATTTTCATATAGATCAGATCAGATACTACACTTCAGTTATCACATGAAATTAATAAATCCAGGAAAGAGCAACAGATATTTTGCCACATGCTAGAGTTTATTCAGCCATAAGAACTGGCAGCATTTCAAACCACAGTGTACAGAGTGCACTCATGTTGATTCGTTACAGCAGAATAGAAAAAAAAAAAGCTTTCATGGTAAGTGCCTCCATCCTTCCCTCCCTTCACGATCTAAAACAGCTTGATAAACCTTGAACTGACTCCCAGCTTTCTAAAACACTCACTCGTGTAGTCTGGCATGAATATATATCTGAAGTCCCACAATTTATTCCTGATGATGGTTGTTTGCATGTACTGCGTGAGCTAAATTTGTTTCTGTTTGTTTTTTTGTTATAATGAATTCTCAGGCTCTTTGTTTAAGTCTCAGTCTGGTTTAGTGGGATAATTGTCCTCAGTGCTGCCCTCTGCTGGCGGTCACAGCTTGGAAAACTGAATGAGGTTCCTGTTGATTTCAGCTACATTCCTGCAACCTGGATCAATAAACGTATATAATATATAAATATAAAACAGTAATAAAAACAATGCTGAAATGTTCCCTAAAGCCTGTTTATATATTAGCATGATTACAGCCATGTCCTTCAAGTTTGCATCAGACTCACCTGATAGAGCCATACACAGACGGAACTCATCGTTTAAGATTTGCAGTACTTCCCTCACTCCTTCTTCTCCCTAAAAGATCACACAGGGCATATTTAAATTAAAAGCAAATTGAATTCTGTAATCTCAAATGCGTACTTGGTGTTAACTAAATAATTACTACATTCAATGAAAACAAACACCTCAATGTGCTGTCATAATCGTACCTTGTATGCGAGGCCCCACACTGCTGGACGGCCGATGAAAACACACTTGGCTCCCAAGGCCAGCGCTTTCAGTACATCACTTCCTGTTCTGATTCCTCCGTCAACATAGACCTCAATTCTGCCTTGTACAGTTTCCACAATCTCTGGCAGCGCATCAATCTGTTATAACAGAGACAGAGATAACCTTACTGCACCATTGAACAGTCAGATATGCATCTGAGTAAGCTACTATAGGTCAATGAGCAAACAAACAAAAAGAAAAAACGTGCTGAAATTAGATTATAGCAACCCCGTACTTTCTGCAGCTCGGGTTATTGCTATGAAATTTTACTGCTATGAAGCGGTAACATAATTAATTTGAAAAATGCTGTGAAATAGACTGAAAATCTGTTTTGTGAAGAGGTAAACAAAAAGACTAATAATCCCAGACTTTCACAGGTTATGTATCGTACATTTTATGAATATGACCTTGAATAAAAGAATGTAGCAATGAATGTGGTCAGCGAATACCGAGGCTGGGCCTCCGTCCAGCTGTCTACCCCCGTGGTTTGACACGATGATGCCCTGGACACCATGTTCCACGGCCAGCTCGGCATCCTCCTTGGTCAGGATACCCTTGATAATGATAGGGAGGCGTGTGATGGACTGTAGCCAGTAGACGTCCTTCCAGCTGATTGAGGGGTCCAGGGTGTTCGCTGGTATCCCATACTCCTCTGGGCCTGCTGTCTCCTGCTTACAGTGCATGTTTGTGATTGTACAACTTTTCTTAAGTGTTCACTTTGGTTTACAAATATGCTGTTTTTACTGAAAATGCAATAATGGGACAACTCTGACACTGCTGGTGCATTTAAGTAACATTAGAGTTTGGATATCTTGTATATATAAGTTGAAGTCCACCTTCCTGATGGACAAATACTGTACTCCAGACTGTAAGGTAATAGATTCTTAGAAATTAGCATTGAAATTACTGCCAAGGGGCGACGATTGCATCTGTGCCATTTATGACGGTATAAAATCAACATCAAAAACAGTTGAATATGAGTAGTCTTTGTCTTAGCTCATTTCGTGTTCTTAGAAAAGTACTTGCATGTTTTGGAGCACAATGAATATAGAGAAAAATGTTGGCTGTTACCTGAAATACTCCATCAAAGTTCTTTACTTTGAGATGTGGTGGAAGTTTGAACTGGTTGCGAATGTCATTGCGGCGCTTTCCAGTATAGGGGACGTCGACAGTGAGGACCAATGCCTTGTACCCGAGCGCCTCTACGCGGTGCACCATTTGTTCTGACAGCTTCCTGTCTCGGTACACATACAGCTGGAACCAGCGGTAACCGTTGGGTGCTGCCGCCACGATCTCCTCCACTGAACATGTGGAATACGTGCTGGTGATGTAGCAGGTGTTGAGCGCCTCGGTGGCTGTGAGGTGAAGGCTGGGGTGTTACTACGACTCCCGCATTTAAATGTCCAACTCTACAGCAAAAGCATACTTACAGCCTCATGTAAAAAGTGTTTTTGGTGTCCATAGCAGATGTGGGTGAGATTCTCAATAACTAGGGCTGCCACAAACGATTATTTTGATAGTCGACTAATCAGATCATCATCCATTGGATGTACAGCATACAGCTTATTGCACCAGCATGTATCTGCTCTTATATAACTATCATTAGCTTACAGCTTTAAGTGTTTAAGGTATGTGCTAACTAAAAATAAAGACAAGATGATAGTTTATTAAATTTTAATG